CCTCCAACCCCGAGTGGGAGGTATAAGTAGCGCAAACAAACCGTCACCTCGCGTAATCTTTGGACGGAGAAGCTGGAAGGAAGGCACATTCGCCTCCTGAACAAAATAATGGCAGGAGTCGCCGTTGTCACGCCTGCAGGTCAGATGCATCTGATGCCGCTGCACACCGAAATGCTTAATATGGCTGTGAGTTCTTTCATAGTGGAAATGCTGAAGACGATCGTCATCCTAGGTAAATAACCAAAAATGTGAAAATAAATACATTTAAAAAATGTAATTATCAGTGCTTAGTTAATCTATATGCAAACTTTATAAAGCATATTCTGTTTTTTTTTTTTTGTTAGAACACACACAGTTAGCCTAAATCTGTATAATACTGATAAAATCCCTAAACTGCTAACTCGCAACAACGATCACCGTTATTTTAAACAATAACCTCTAATGCCACTCACTCTAATGGAGGGAACATGTCATAATTATTTAGGACATATTTGTAGCTATGTTTAGTCTGAAGGCTGCAATGTAAAATCCTCCCTGTCCTGTCTTAAGGTGTTTTAGGATGCACTGAGGAAAATGTCAAGCTGCACGTTGATGGCAAGCCACTGGACAGGCCCACTGCATCACTGGCCGATTGTGGAATCAAAGTCGGCTCGACTGTGCAGGTGGTGAGGAAGGTTCACGGAGGGTGAAGGAGTCCATCATTAATTCATGTGACCACGTCAAATGAACAGGATGGACTGAATTATAAATACGCGAAGAAGAGAAAACGCATCATTTTGATTTAAGTCTGGCACCTCCGACTTTCCTTCTCTCATCATTTCTTCATTTTTACATGGAGCTCGCTCACTTGCACGCATAAATGAATAGTCCGGTTCTCAGCTCGGAATATATAATGATTAATGGCCCTGTACGTTTTTATTTTATTTTATTTTATTTTATTTTATTTTATTTTATTTTATTTACGTTGGTGGGGCTTCTGTTCCAGGGATGACAAATTAGGATTATCTCCTCTCACTGACATCACACAGATCCGCAGTCTGAAACAGAGCCTTTTTAGATTTCTGATCTTTTAGCTCACATTAATCACTTAAACAATAAGTATAGAGAATATCACCTTTATATCCAATATAAATTTTAAACGTGTGTGTGTGTGTGTGTAACCTCATATTATTATAATTATGTAGCAGCACAAAGAGCAACATCCACAAGATGAAAGCTGAAAAAAGAAATTTGTTTTCAATTTCCTATTTTACACAACATTATCCTTTTATGATGTACATAAATAGAAAAAGGATTCCTGTAGCCTGTGTTCAGTAGTTTCTGGTTTTTATGTCAATGGCAACATTTGAAATAATTTTCAAATCATGTTTAATAAATTATTTCTAAACTGATCTGCCATGCATCGTGATGAGTATTATTTCTATGTTTCAGATTAATTTGAACATTTTGGTTCACAAATGATCTTGGATTATATTTTTAAATCTAATTGTTTATTATTTTGTGACATGTTATGTTCCACTACAACGACACAGGAAATCTTTTTCAGATGTGAAATGCCTCAGGTGTAAACGTTGAAGAAGTAGGATTATAAAGAATCAAATTTTACATGATCATTATACGATGAATAACGAGGCAGGAAGGGAGAAAAATCCACAGGTTTATATCAATAATAATAATAAAATGTTTTACAGTTACGCGCAAGTCTTTCATATTCAGTAAAATATTAAAAGGTGCAACATTGGCTACACAAACTGAATAATGACATAAACTGACCGTGTAATGCTCAGCTTTTACAAAT